CAAGCACCATGATATGCGAGGCACTGTGCTAAGCAGTGTAGATATGAGGTGAGACAGAGCCTCTGTCCTTCAGTTGCTCACAATCAGGTAAGAAAGAAAGCATATTAATTAAAGCCCAAGTTATAATATGAATTTATTTTAGTGCTTGAGGAGCACATAGCCTTTAAGTCTTACTAGTCGGAGTGGAATGGTTATGGGATGTGTGCAAAGTGAGGTAGGGTTTTAGGCTGGCTTGAGGAGCACAACCAACCACAAGATCACTCAGCTGATCAAAACAAAGCAAAACAAACAAACAAACAAAAACCTTTTACAAAATCCATCACCCTTTCACGATGAAAACGTTTAATAGACTAAGACTAGAAGGGGACTTTCTTAACATGAAAAAGGCCATGTATGAAAACCCACAGCTAACATCATGCTCAGTGGTGAAAGACTGAGAGCTCTTCCCCTAAAGTCAGGAACGAGATGAGCAGCGCTGCTTTTAGCACTTCTATTTATTACAGCACTGGAAGTGAGAGCCAGGGTAATTAGGCAAGGGGTGAAGAAGGTACCCAAACTAAAAGAAAAAAAGTAGAATTATACGTGTGCAGATGACATAATCTTATAGCTAGAAAACCCTAATGAACCCATTAAAAAAAACTGTTAGAACAAATAAATAAATTCAGAAAGGTTTCAGGATACAAAATTAACATACAAAAATCAGTTGTATATCTATGTACTAAGCAATTAACATCTAAAAAGAACTTGGATTGAGGGAAATCCATTTGCAATAGCAAACAAGGTAACAGATTAATAGTAGAGTCAACAAAAGCAGCATACAACTGATACACTGAAAAATACAAAATATTGTTGAAATATATTAAAGAACATCTAAATAAATGAAAAGATATCCCTTGTGCATGGAATGGAAGACTTAATATTATTAAGATGATAATATAAGCACAGCAGTATACAGATTCAATGCAATTACTATCAAAATTACAATGGCATTTTTTTTCAGAAATAGAATAATCCATCTTAATATTCATATGAAACCTCAAGGGATCTTGAATAGCCATAAGAATCTTGAAAACAAGAACAGAAATGAATATGAGTATTTAACATTTACTGATTTCAAAACTAACTACAAAGCACAGTAATCAGAACAGTGTGGTATTGACATAGGATAGGGAAATGGATCAGTGAAATAGAATAAATCCTCACATATATGGTGAACTGATTTTCAACAAGAGGTCCGAGACCATTCAACAGGGAAAGTATAGCCTCTTCAAAAATGGTGCTAGAAAAACTGGATATCTACATGCAAAATAATGAAACCTTATCTCACACCATAAAAAAAATATTAACTCATAGTAGATTAAAGGCCTGAACTTAAGATCTAAGACTAGAGAACTCTTAAAAAGAAACATAGGGACAAGTCAACCTTAGATTTGGCAATAGTTCTTAAATGTGACAACAAAAGCTTAGGCAACAAAAGTAGAAAATTTTGACTTCACCAAAATTAAGATCTTCTGTGCACTAAAGGACACTATCAAGAAATTGAAAAGGCAATCCACGTAATGGGAGAAAGTATTTGCAACTCCTATATCTGATAAGGGTTTCATATTCAGAATATATAAAGAGCTCCAACTCAACAAAATATACAAACAACACAATTTTTAAAATGGGTAAAGGACTTGAATAAACATCTCTCCAAAGAAGATAAACAAATGGCCAATATGCACATGAAGGGACGCTCAACATCATTTGCCATTTGGAAAATTTGAATCAAAAGCAAAATGGGACAGCACTTTACACCTACTAGGATGGTTATACTTTTTCAAAAATGGGAATTTGGCAAGGATGAGAGGAAACAAACCCTTGCACATCACTGCAAATATAAAAGAATAGCTGTTGTGGAAAGAATGTTAACATTCCTAAAAAGTTAAACATAAAATTACCATGTTATCTAGCAATTCTACTCCTAGGTAGCAACCCCAAGGAATTAAAAACGGGTGCTCAGATACTTGTCTGCCAACATTCATAGCAGCATTGTTCACAATAACCAAAAAGTGAAAATGAAGTGCCCGACACAAATCAATGAATAGAAATCAACATACATATAATGTTAATACATACAAAGAAATATCATTCAGCCTTAAAGGGAATGACATTCTGATACATGCTACAACATGAATAAATTTTGAAAACAGTATGCAATAAAATAAGCGAGGCACAACAAACAAATATTATGATTCCATTTATGTGAAATACCTAGAATAAGCAAATAAATAAAAACAAAAAGTATATTTGAGATTATTAAGATCTGGGAAGGAGGGGAGAATGGGGAATTATTGCTTAATGAGTCAAGAGTTTCTCTTTGGGGTAATGAAGAGTTTTGGAAATACTAGTAACAGTTTCACAACATAGTAAATGTAATTAGTGCCACTGAATAGTACAATTAGCAATGGTTAAAATGGCAAATTTTATTATACATGTATATATATTTTATATATTATATGTGTATATGTATTATCACATAAGTATATTTTTATATCACAAGAAAAAATAGCAAGACCAAAAAAGTGCCAAAGAGAGTATATAGTGAATTATCTTTACTGTTTGTATTTGCATAAAGAAACACTGGAAAAATTATAAGGAACTAATAAAAGTGGCTTCTTATAAGCAACATGAATAGTGAGCCCTATACCCTAATGTGGTTGTAATAATTACAATACAAAAACATTCGTTCCTGGTTGGTAAGTAGCCACTCCCCAGTTCCCTGAATTTTCCTTACCTCTGCCCTTATCCCAGGATACTTGACTCCACATGATCTAGCAACTGAAGTGTTAACCCTGGCAGAATAGGGGTGTGGCTGGCTTAGCGTGGGTTGGAAACAGAGTGGAAGGGCAGCTTTGCATACTAATTCTTTAATATCCTTTTGATTTTCAAGCCATGTAAATATATTTCTTATTTTGTAGTAAAATTTAAAACTAAGGAAGAGGTGGGAGAGAAGGGCAGAGCACAAGGAGGGGGAAAAGAGAAGCACACCAGCTGGAAAGGCACTTAAGAGAATTTTAGCAAAACAAATGTGTATTTGTAAACCACAATAAGCTCAGGGAATTGCAAGTCTTGTAGAGACGCCTAAACATAGAGTGGGGAGAAGATGAGGTTATAGAGATAAATTTGGGCCTTAATATGCGGCCTAAATCAATTTAAACTATTCCTATGGCACTGATTAATCATTTAGATTTTTTTCAATCAAGGAAATTAATTGAACAGATTTGTGTGTGAGAAAAATAATTCTGACCTCTAAACGGAGAATGCACTGAGTGGGAGGGCTGGGAGGTTGAAGGAGATGGTAATGAGAGGAACATAACAAATTACAGTCAGAAGATACTGAAGAAGAAAGATCTAATGGTCTTGCTGAAAAACAGCTTGGGGTTTGAGTTAAAAGAAAAAGAGGGGAAAACAAAAGATGACTCTATGATTTCTAGCTTAGTTAACCACATGGGTGGAGTATGACCTTTAATGGGGGAATTCTAAGGGGAATTATTCAGGATTGTGATTATGTGAAATGTGAATATATTGAGACGCCAAAGATAAAGTGTGACATAATGTGTATTTCAAATAAAAAGTTACTGTGCAAGTGGTAATGATTTGGTTTCCATTTTATTTAAGAGTGACTTAAGAAGAAATATGACACATTTTATAGGAGGAAGTATCTTTATACATAAATGAAGATCTAAAATCAAAGAGCAGTGTTGGAATATGTTATAAAGACTATTTTATGCTGATTTTTACAAAATTTCTTTTTGACCATGATAGCCTAGATGTTATAAACATGTAGAAAAATGACCTCTAGGTATTGTCACAAATTATAAGATTTTTATTTTTATGAAAAATAAATATAATTTCTCAGAATGCCAGCTAACATTTTCCCCAATAAATGTATTTTCAAAATATCATGGTATTTTCAGGGGATGATACTGTTTCATCAGAGTAGAAATCAAGATGAACAAGAGAAGTTTCATAAACTCTTTATGACCAAATAGTTTTTTAGATAATTTATTCAAGAGTCCTTCGCTCAATTATAGACATACTTCCAGCTTCTCCACTCTTCTTCCACAGCTGAACTTCAAAAAGTAGTCTATATTCACATCCTTCATTTCCTTGCATTTACTCCTCCATCCACTTTATCTGACTTAGGTAAGTGGCTGTTATCTAAGGTCAACAGAGCCCAACACATGGCTAAATCATCTCACATGAACTCTATTGCATTTGCATGCTTGCAAAACACCTCCTTCTTGAACTATTCTCTTTCTTTGCTCTCTATGGCACTACACATTCCTGGTTTTATGATTTTATGACAATTTCTTTTAAATCTCTGCTGGTTTATTCTCCTCTATCTAGCCATTAATTGTGGAATTTCTCAGGAGTGGGCCATGTATCTTGTTCACTTCTCAGCCTACCCTCTTCCAGAACAGCATGCCACATCTACGTCTTTAGTTTCCAACTATGTGCCAACAACCTGTGGCCTCCCCCCTTTATTTCAAATCTCCAGACTGTGAGCACAAATAACCAAATGTTTCTCATCCTCTGAAAGTGATGCCTCCAATGTACCTCAAACCAATCATGTCCAAATAATCACACTCTTAATCAGACTTATCAAACATGATCCTTTTCCAATATTCCTATATATAATTTAGTGAAATTATTCATTCAAGTACACAAGTCAGAAACTTAGTAACACCCTCAACATTTACCTTTCATTAAACCCCCATACCCATTTCTTCACCAAGACTGTCAATTATTACCTCTTAAGTATCTCTTACATTTCTGTATTTCTATCTGTACTGTCAAAACCCTAGTCCAAACCGCCAGCATCTCTTTGAAAACATACTGGACTGAAAGGTTTTAGTCCTCAAATCTGTGAAGGAAGCATAGTAAAGTTTTAAGTTAGTTTCCAAAGTGTCTGTAGAAATTATGACAATTATTCAAATACACAACAGGCACATCTATCCATATTAGATATTATCATTCAAAAACAGCATCTCCTGCGCAGTTACAGTAAGTGGTTTGAGAAGTAATAGAGCAAAAGGTGAATGCCAAGCACTGTTTCCATTCTGCTACATCTTCTTCTCTGTATGTGAGCTTTCAAATCCAGAGTGTCTCTTCTGACTTTTCTCCTTTAGCCTTTTCCAGATCATTCTGGGGTCATCTGAGAGCCTGGGAAGGCCCTGATGTGCTTCTCCAATAAGGGTAAGAAGGTCTTTGGTATGAAGATGTTCATCCATTTTCTCTTGGAGTAGAAACGACTCCAGTAAAGTCTTCCTTCGTTTCAGGAAGGCAGATTGAGCCAGCTCTGCTCTTTTTCTGTTACAATCGGGGCACCTGGAAGAAATGTGTTGCTTAGCTGTTGCCACCTGCTTTAGTGTTGCCATCACGTTTTTTAAAGAGATTCTGTTCATAAGCTCATCAGGGACAGTACAGCTTAAGGCATCTATCTCTGAAGCCTCTGCATCCAATCTATGTGGCAGCTTTTCACGTTTGCTGCTCTTTTTCTCCTTAGAGGTAGCTCTGTGATGGATCAGGTTTATCTTACTGGTGCAAAAAGACTGCAGGGCATTCAATTGTTCATCAGATACCAGAGGGATTTCTGTTTGAAGTTTAGTGTCTGGTGGGTACCGTCCAGAGTTAGTTTCTTTGCCCTTGAGCTGGTTGATCCTTTTCCAACTAAACCTCCTTTCTGAAAGCTCAGATGGTTTATCTTGATATTCCAAGCATGTAATCGACCTTCCACTCTGAGGCTTGCTCCCCGAGTCCTGGGACCAGGGCTGCAGTCCTCCGGAGGAACTGAATGAACCGGAACTCTGTACCTCATCAGTGAAGGACTGGATGGTCTCATTGGAAAGGTCGGTCATAGCGCTGATGTCCGTTGGGGCCAACTCAACTTGCTCCTCTGAATCCCCAGCTTCTAGGTGGGTGGCCATCACGTTGCATCAGACTCGGCTCCTCACCTGCTTTGCTTGATCAAGACGGACTCAGGAACTAGTCAGGCCTGAGACCGCACCGAACGGGTCCCTATAGGTGCCGGCAGTTCTGCCGGGCCTCTCTTCCGGGTGGCGCCTTTCCGCTGCCATGGCAACGCGGAGCGGTCATGCGCACTGGGTCGCAGCGCCGCGCTCCTCCCCGTCCCCCGCCCGCAGCAACGCAGACTCCGCCCGCACAACTCGCGCTGGAGTTGTGGGTTGTCTGTTTGCTTTGCGTGTGCTATTTTCGCTGCAATTTTAAGTACAAAATCTAGTGATTTTTTGAGAGAAGTTGCAACCACCCTTTTCTCAGGGGTCAAACAAGAGTACATGTGCGAGGCCAAAAGGAATAAGCAGCCTCCGACAAAGCCGAGAAAGTATGACCCACTTAAATGATTCACATTTTAAAAAAGCAAAAAACAAAAAACCCTGCCAGCCAGAAAACGCAAGTAGAAACATGGAAACCTGTCTGCCCATCCTACGGCCAGGAGATGACCTATTTGAAGACCCTGTCTTACTATAAAAATCAAATACTGAACCCATCCTGTAGATCTCGGCACGACAGGGCTCCTACCATATTACTCCAGCCTCATCTGAAGGCTGCAGTGTTCCCAAATCTCAGTGCCTCGGGTCTTCGGTTCGGGCAGGACGCCTCCGAACCGCACATCCGGAGCCCTCTTCCCTGTTTACGTGATTAATTACTGCTGCTCCTTCAAGTCCCTTTTCCTCAAAAGAGCCGCATAGCCACCCCAGCTCCAAAACCCTTGAGAACCTTTGCTTCACAGTTTACAACTATGTGTTTGAGTATTTGATTATTATTATCAAATCGCACCACGCGATTAAAAACTCAATGAGCAGAAACTTTGGGGTTGGGTGAGGAGGAGACGCTAGCATTCAGCAGGTACCTGACACACAGAAGGTATTCCGGAAGTCTCTGTTGAGTGAAAGAGGTGAATGTGGAAATATAAGTCTCTTACAGGTCCGGTGGGTTTTATGGGATACATATTAACAGCTCAGGGAACTTCAATCTTTTCTTCCTCCAGAACCCCCCAAATTCAGCTGTTACTCTTTGTACAACAGCTTTTTAAAAAAATAGAGTTTTACAAACCATTATTCTCAAAAATTATAAAATGTTATCTATGGAGACTGACTTTTTCTAGGTCTTAGTAATTATGTGAGTCTACATCTTAGTCAGCTTATGTTAGATTTTATTTCAGGATTTCAAGGGAGTGGTCTTCCTTGCTCAGATCCTTCTGTGTGTATGTGTGTGTGTTTGTGTGTATGTGTGGTGTTGCTATTCAAGTCTAGCCAGATATAGTTAATGCTATTCCAGAAATATTCACTTTGGCAAAGAGTCAAAAGTCTGTAATGTTTAAAAAAACATCTCCCAAATATAAGCCAGATTCATAATGAAGAAGAAAAGATTACAATTTAATTTATTTAAACCAAATTATATTTCATCATAAAAGGTTGATCTTTAAAAAGAGGTAGCAAAGAATTTGTGGACAGTTCCAAGTAATTTCCAAAGCTCAAGATTTTGGATCTTAAATTTTTATTTTAAAACCTTTCTCATTCCCTGAGTATTTACACATAATTCGTCATAACACAGGTTATTCTCAGAAACACTGAGCAAGAGAGCTATACTTTAAGTATATTTACATTTTCTAATATGTTAAATCGTTTTAAGAATAACTTTGTCCCAGAAGCAGGTAAGTTTGGGGGTATATCCTGTAATTACCTAATTTCTTTTCAATAACTAGCATGACCCAGTAAATGGTTAAACACCCCAACATGTATTCTTTAAACAACTACAATAGCTCACGATACTATCATTATTAAGTAAGATTCAGAAAGACAGAGGCCAAACTCTGATTTTAAAGGTAGAGACTATTACTCTTTGTGTAAACCGTACACTCTTCTTTTATCTCTAAGTCTATCACAGAATAAAGTTAAAGGCAACTACTTAAAATGCACACACCTCTTTTCTCTTTTCTATATATGAAATAAAAGTACTATCTGCCTCCTATCTTTCTTCTATATCAGAATTGTCAGTGATGTATAGGTGAAAAGAAAATCTCAGACCATTACATAGTAACTACTAGCAAGAAATCTATATTCCATGTTATTAAGAAAGATTGTTAAGCGATCTGTGAACAAGTATGATGTCTTATACAACTGTTTTAATTAGACGTTTCAAGTGAGAGTAAAAAGCAAGAATGCATAAAGGGAAAGGGGGAAGAGAGTTGCAACATTTATATCTTATCTAAAATCTTTTTACACTACACCAACAGATATAAATCACTCCAACTTGCTAGACTGAAAACAGATTTAATCAATATTTTCAGAAAAAAATATAGGATGACATTTTAAACATTGTATGTATATTGCTTTTACCAGTAAAAGAAAGACCAAGGGATTGACAGAGAGGAAATATTTATAGCTTTCCCAGAAAATTCATAGCAACATTTCAGCATCCCAATAACTTTGTATTAGAATTACTCTTTATTTAGCAAATATCTATGAATTTTGGTGGAGTCATTTTTTTTTCAAAACTAAAACTAATTATCTAAATCTAAAATTAAATAACTAAAGCTACAACCAAATAATTCAATCAATACTCAAATGCACCAAAAAAATGCTGTATATTTATTTCTTGTTATAAATGTAATCTTCTTTACAAGATCTCACCCATTTTGGTAGCTATGGTAAACCATTAAGTTGATAATTAACAATATTCCAGACATTCTCATATAAGTCAGTCTCATTTTAGCAAATATTCAGTCAATGCTAAATTTAACTCCCTAAGGAACTATTTCTTTTTTCCCAAGATGGTGCCTACATAGAAGGAAACCTTTATTATCTTTGGAGCATTTGGTGTTTGGGGCCCTAACTTTGTGCTTACCCTTTGGTTGGTCTTCACTGCATAGTGCAGGTGGTCCTTGGGCTTGTGCCGATTTCCACCAAGGCACAACTAGTCAGGTTCCTTCCAGGGTCCTGACAAAATGCAAGGCTAGTGGAGCTTCTCCAAACCCCTCCTGGCTATCTTGACACACACTTGACGAAAGTACCCACGGGTACTTTGACTCCCTCCTGGAAGCTGGTTGTGTCTTTCAAAATCATGCTGAGAAACGGCAGAGGAAAAGGGAATGTGCTCTGGCACTTACAGCCCAGCCTAGAGGCCTTGCCATTCCACCATCTCTCAGGAGACTTCTTCTGGCACGCCGTTCCTCTGGCAAGTTCAAGCATCTTGACATCTCTCCCAGGCTGATGGGAATGCTGGGTCCTTTATAGGCCACATTGTGGCTCAGACAGCCTGGGGTGGGAGTAGGAAGGGACAGGAAGGAAAGAAACAAATGGGGTGTTCCCACCTAACCACACTATGGCACTGCTTTTATTGTCCTACTGTCATCATTTCTTTTGTCATAGCTTTTTTTCGCGCTTTTCCTCAAAAGCCAAATATGCTTTGTAGCTAGAAAGCTTACCCTTAGAGAAGGGAGGTCAAAACAATTTAGTATTCCTGTCTGATTCCCTTCCCCTCTTATCTCTCTCTTTGGAGGGAGAGGACCTAGCTTTCTGCTTCTTCCTGTCTGTCAAGCACTTCTCCAAAGTAACAGAGTGCCCTCCTTGCCATGTGGCATATTTGGCCTTGTGCTGTGCAGGCCACCAAGATGAAACCTAGTTTATGAATAAGGGAAATTAAGTTGATAGAGCCTTCCAAAATATTCTACCTTTTACATAAACTTCACAGCACTGTACTTGGGTCTGTAGATCAAGCAAAATGATATATTATTTCCCCTCCTAAGGGGCAAAGTTAATGTATCAGAAATCTCACTGGGAGAAATCACTTTTGTGGAGTGAAGAATCTTACATCACTCTTGATATTTGTCCTTTTTTTAAAAAATATTTTACATCTCAAATATCTCAATCTTTTCGATGCTTTTTCTTTCAGTTTTATTTTTAATTGATTAATTGGCTTACGGAGAGCTGGCTTTTACTTTAACAGCTATTGTTTTGCAGAGAAAATATATGTTTACTCTAGGTACTTAAAAAGATAAAGATAAGCTACACATATTAATTTTAAGTGAAAGTTACCTGAAGTCTGACCTCCCAAAAATAATCACTACAAACACATCAAATATTTTAATATTTTTCTTCAATAGTTTTTCTTAATAAAACCTATATTAAACTTGGGGTTTATAAACTACTTTCTTCATTAATAATAATATTAACATTTTCCATTCAATTTATAAGTAATTCAATTTCAAAATAATTTTAAAAACTGTATTGCATTATTTGGTTATCTAAGAAGATTATTTAAACACAAGGTATTTAGTTTTTTGCTCCTAAAAATTATTGAAATAAGCATTCCTCTAACTAAATCATTATATACATTGATAGCTATATGTGTAAGATAAATTATAAATTATAACTGGTAAGTCCAAATGGATGCACAATTTTAAGGCTTTTGGTATATCTCTCCCTCCCTGCTCCTTACTTTAACACCCTGTGTATTAAAACATCCAGGATACAATATTATTTTATGTATACGTACTCCAGTTTGTATCCCTAAATAGGTAAGGCCTTTTTAAAACATAACCAATAATGATTATCATACCTAAAACATAATAATTCCTTAATATCATCTAATAATTATTCTGTAGTCAAATTTCTCTGATTGTCTCCAAAATGCCTTTTTATAAGTCACAGTGTTTGAATCAAGGTCCAGTCACTGCATTTAACCAATGTGCTGCTCAAGGCTCTTTCACGCCACAGCATTTTCAAAGTATAAACAATTCAAAAAGCAAAAAGGGAAACAGAGGGAGCACACAAAGAAGTTTGGCTTTCTTCTCTATATACCATCATTGTTCCCAAGAGAAAATCAGTATTTTAAAATTTTTTATTTATCCTTCCAAGTTTCTGTTTAAAAATATAAATCAGTAGATATTTGTATCTCTTTTTTT